CCCCCCCACCCCCCCCCCACCCCAGCCACGCACATTTTAGCAGCAGAGGATCCCCAGCCTTGAGGCTGTGTAACCCGGCTCTCCCCTCCTACACACACATGCGGATGCCAAGAGATCCCTTGGTCCCTCAGCGCAGGTCTCTACAGGTACAAACAGCATCCTGTGGCACGCTCTGTGCCTCCCCGCAGGAAAGCCGCTTTTCCAGACATCAGTTACGGGGGGGGAACGTGTCATTCAAGCCACCAAAACAAGCTCTGAGAGAAAAACACAGCTCATCTGGCGGTGCACGTCGCTCCCTCTCAAGCCTTTCCACAAAGCACACGGGCATTTGGCATTGCGACGGAAACCTTTGAGGGCGAGGGAGTTGAACCACCTCCCCAGAATAAATCCAAGGGACTGTGTCAAAGCCTGGTGCTGTGACACTTCTTGGCTCAGGGGGAGAGCCCTTTGTGGGTTCTTCCAGGGGACCATCTACTCCCGCAGCGGCAAACTTTAAACTACAGACTCCGTTTTTTTACTTTGGGATTTAATTCCCACGTCTAGCCTATGTCTCTTACCCATCTCAGACGAGGGCGAGGGAGTTGAACCACCTCCCCAGAATAAATCCGAGGGACCGTGTCAAAGCCTGGTGCTGTGACACTTCTTGGCTCAGTGGGAGAGCCCTTTGTGGGTTCTTCCAGGGGACCATCTACTCCCGCAGTGGCAAACTTTAAACTACAGACTCCGTTTTTTACTTTGGGATTTAATTCCCACATCTATACCCGTCTCAGACGTCCTCGTGACCTAAAGAAGTCTCTTATGTCCTCTGTAATGTCCACGTGGCAAAGATTGCTGCAATATTTCCCTTAAGATTCTTCAAGCTCACCTGGATCTGTGTCCCTACAGCGTATCCAAAGATGTATTGCCTCCCTCTCCTGCCTTTCCCACATCCTCCACACACACACGGGCTGGCAAGGGCATTATTACCCTGTTAGCTGGCAGATTGTCTATACTGGTTTTATCAATGTGTGTCCGAATTAGCAGCGTTAATTCTTGGTCCCTCTTCCCCACCACGCTGTTCAAATAAAGAACAAACACCCATCCAGTAACGTCCACTCTCCACTCCAAAATGCGGTTAAGTTGGGTATTTGTTCCCAGGCATGGCAGCGTTTTTATCATCTGTGACCTGGTATCTGCGTTACAAAAAAGCCCTGTATAGCTGAGCTATTGCAAGTATCGTTCTCATATAAAGATATAAAAGAATATGTATGTATTCTCTGAGCTATTGCAAGTATCGTTCTCATATAAATATATAAAATAATATGTATGTATTATATATATATATTTATAAATGTCATCCTGATATGTGGGCATAGATGAAAATATTAAGGAGCATCTGTGCATTAAAATGGCAATGGGATAATGATCATTGAAAATTCACTTTGTCTGCAAATTGCAGTCCTTAAATATAGACCTTAATGGTACAGACATTGGACTTTCCATGCCATAGTGACTTTTGGTTTATGCAGTAGATGCTTATTCTAGGTGGTGAGAGCACAGTGGACATTAGGGAGCTATTTATACAGTTAACTGAGGAATTTTCTTGTCCTCAGGTTATGGAGGTGTGTGTTAAGGGGGATTGTGCAACTGTGATTCTGGTCTCTATGGGAGTGAGATATGAATGTAGTAATGGTGCCTGATGCCTGCTGCGTGTGAAACTTTTACACTCTTTTGCTTCAAGAGGGGCTTCATCTCTTTCAAGTCCAAGAGGTTTGACAGGGTGAAGGTGGGATCCTTGAGTTTTACATGGTCCCCTCCACCTAAGGAGGTTTGTTCAGAACAATTCTTATTTGGAAGCTTAGATTTTTCACTCTAGCCTTCCTGGAGTTATGGGGAGGATTCTTTCAGACCTACTTTGGGAAACCAGTGCTTTAAAGTACTAGATCTGAGCTCTAGGATGTGGTTGGAAACTAACACCCTAGAATGAGTAGAAGTTTGTGTTCTTGCTGTACAGTGCTATCTGGTTAGATTGTTGCAGAGTTGGTTCAGTATATATGGTTCAGAGTTGGCTCTGTATTGCCTTTGCAAGTCCAGGTAGGTCCTAAAGATGGAATATGCTTGTATTGGTTTTATCCTGGAATTTGCATGTAGCAGATTTTGAACTCAGAATTTGGGAGGTTTTAATTAGTGATAGAAAGCTTATAATCAGTCACATTTAGTTTATTCACCACGCAAGGGCCAGTGCAGGATTGTGCCCTGAGCTTGCTCCAGGCCTTTTTCCATTCCAGTTTTAAGCAAGCCACATGATTTCTCCATCTCCCGCAGGGACATTTTACTATGATCTAGTTAGATGTCATAGTTTGCACATGTTTAGTGATGTGCAACTTTACGTTTTCTTTGCTAAATATGAGTTTTCTGGTTTCTCCCCGGGGAAAAGTAATTGA